CCCCTTCCTCCGTCCCCTCACTCTCACTCTCACCGTCGCCGCCTTGCCCTCCTCGTCCGACAACGGATGTTCTTGATCCCGCCTCGCCTTCCCCTTTGCTCTTTAACATTTCTGCCTGGCCGTGCATCGCGGACTCCAGCAACGCACTGGACGTACCTTACCGGGACCCGCCAACCCAGGTGCATGCCCAACCTCGACGCCGGACCCCAGGACCTTGGAGCCGAGCTGTTGTTCGCAACAGAGCACATCCACATGCTATGCTTCGTGCAATGCAGCCTCAAGATGGAGAAGCTCACAGTTATAGTGGACGTGCATGCACATCACGCTCCCGGCACCTTTGAATCTCGCCGTCCATAGTCATGGTGTTTATCCAGCGACGTCTAGCACCCTTGTTAAAACGAAAAATAACTGCAAATGAGAAGCAACAAAGTGGGAAGGAAACAAAAAACGAACCTACAACAGAGTGCAAGCCAGATTGTTTCAACATGCACTGCACTATCACTTTGTGCTAAATTTCGAGGTTTTCACCTGAAATCCAACCGGGCATTATAAATATAAAAAAACTCAAAAAATGTAAAAACTTAGCAACGTTGATGTAGAGGCCCTCTGTGGTCGATTACCCTCCAACAGAGTACCAGAAAAGGCTTCGAGATGGGATCTCGCAAGAACAGAAGTTTGCAGTGGCGGAAAAAGTATGTTGTTTGGCTTTCTGATATATTGGAAATATTTGGGAATTTATAGAGCTGGAATTAGGTCAAGAGGTGCCACGAGGGGCCCACAAGTCTAGAGGCGCCCCCGAGGCGCGGGCTGATCGCTCCCTCGTGGCTCCGCACGTCTTCTTCCGAAGCTTCAAGGGTCCCTTCTGGTCTACAAAAAATCGTAAAAAAGTTTCGTAACGTTTGGACTCCGTTTGTTACTTATTTCCTGAAAAGCAAAAAAAAACAAAAAATAGCAACTGGCACTGAGCACTAGGTTAATAAGTTAGTCTCAAAAAATGATATATAATTGCAAAATAAACATCCATGATTGATACTATAATAGCATGGAACAATAAAAATTATGGATATGTTGGAGATGTATCAGGAGGCAATGTAGTGTTGCTATTTTGTGACCTAAAAATCTTGTAAACATTAACGCGCAAATCGAAGCTGCATCTCCAATTTTTGGATTTATATGAGAGGTGGATTTGCTATTTTAGAACAACAAAATATATTTGTTAAGTTAGCGGCGTGTATGGTTGCCCACACGCTGCTAGTGTGATGTTTAACGGTGTTTAGGCTCTAGAAGGAGGGCTACTAATAGAACGTTAAGATTTTAAGCACACTTACATATTGTTTTCATTGATGTGTGAAAATTAATCTTTCCATGGTGTCATATGGCATGTCATCATTGGAATATGCGGTTACACATTCAATGTGTTACACAAAACTTATGAGATGTGTTAACGACCTACGGATGCCAGTGGAGATTCGTAGGTTCAAAGGGGGGAAGTATCCAATTTGATGAGCGGGAAATCTGGATTCTCGTGACCTAAAAAATCTTGTGTACATATAATCCAGAAAAATCAAAGTTGCATCTTCAATTTTTATTTATATGAGAGGTGGGTTTGCTATTTTAGAACAAGATAATATATTAGTTAAGTTAGGAGCGTGTACGGTTGCCCACATGCTGTTAGTGTGATGTTTAGCAGCGTTTAGGCTCTAAAAGGGACGCTGCTAATAATACTTTAAGATTTTAAGTGAATTTCCATAATGTTGTAATTTTTATTTGAAAAAAAGTTTTGATGGTGTCAATATGCATGTGGTCACTAGAACATGTGTTTACAAATTCAATGTTTTACACAAAAGTTATGAGACATATAAACGACCCATCGATGTCAGCCTAGATTTAATTTGTAGATTTGAAGTGGGGTGGGATTATCCGATTTGTGAGGGGGCAATGTAGTGTTGCTATTTTTGTGACCTAATAGTCTTGTATACATATAATGCAGAGAAATCAAAGTTGCGTCTCCAAATTTTGGATTTATATGAGAGGTAGGTTTGCTATTTTTGAATAACATAAATATACTAGCTCAGCTAGTAGCATGTATGGTCGCCCAAATGCTGCTAGTGATGTTTGAAAAATAAACTTTGCATGTTGTCATCATGCATGTGATCAATATAATATGTGGTTGCAAATTCAATGAATTACACAAAAGTTCTGAGATATGTGAGTGTCGTCCATTCGCCAATCAGCTCATATATATTTTTATTTTGAGAACACGTTAGAAGCACACCGCTATTTGTACGTCTGTTAGCAGCGTTCCTTAACAACAAATATTTTTGGTTGTTTGAACCCAAACATGCGGTCTGACGGTGTGGTGATGCTAGTTTTGTCGCTTTCTTGGTAAGATGAACGCTTCTAGTTTACAGCCAGCCTTCTTGCAGCGTCTTTGTTACTCAAACACTGATGGCGTTTCGAGGTAGAATAGCTCCCATGGTGTACAACACTAGCACCGGTTATTTAGTTGGCACACTGCTAGTTATGTAGCAGTAGAAGCGCCAAGATTTTTCTAGGCACCGTGGGTGGTTGGTCAAGTTAAAAGCTATGTTTCTTTCTTGACGAACGTTGCTACTAGCAAAATCATATAAGGGGTTTTCCTACTAGTGATGTGGTATAATTTCTTGGGGTTTTCCATCATGTACCCTTTTAAAAGATGTCAACTTGTACATATTACATCTCCTTCTCAATGAAAAGGTAGCCCTTCTGCCGATTACTCGAAAAAATGATTATCTTCCCCTAAATGCCAATCTTCATATCAGTAGGTTATCTATGGTTCACTGAACCAGATGTAAGTCCAGGAGTAATGCTCGTGTTAAAAAAGGCTTGGTTCTTCCAATTGGTTTTGATGCATACCCTGAAATATTTGGCAGGGTTACACAAGACCACAGAGAAGTCTCTTCTATAGAAGAGTGATGGAGGTCATGTATGAGAAGAATAATTTGTTCCTCGGGGTGTGGGGCAAGCATAGCTCTACCTCTCACTCCATGTAATTTGTGCAATCATGTTTTCTTTATGTTAGTTGTATGTTACGTATTTTATGAATCAAAACATTGTATTCATTCACCCACAAAAAACATTGTTTTTGTTAACCTCTTGGTTCGTACATCAATCTTATAATTGTGAGTAGATTCGGCCCGAACATTTGTAGTTATAAGAACAAAATATAGAAAAAAACACATACAAAGTTCCGCGTTCTATAACCAATACTCACAAGTTTGAGAAAATTCTTATAATAGTAACTCGCAAGGTTGTCAGAATAAATCACGATTCTGTTATACGATTCTACGACTTTACGATCCAACCTAACCCCTATGATTCTACGACTTTAGTTCATAGAATCTGCGTTTCTACGATCCTGATAGTGAAGATTCTACGATTTGTGATCCTACCATCGGCGCTCTGATCCGATTCAATATCGCGATTCTGACAACCTTAACTCGACTGCACTAATATTTCTTGTAACTATTACACACATGTAACACGTATTATTCCATGATAGTTTGGACACACCACATTTTTTATATCAAACAAAATATGTTTATGGCCATGAAATATATACACCTATATTTCGCCTATGTATGTTTGAGGTACATACGTGGGAAGCATGAGCATGCTGTTATACATGAGATATATAAACATTACATCACATACATAAACGACATACATGATTACTATTAGAAATAGATATTCTAATCTCTTCTCCCCTATGCACTTTTGTAAGCTTTGTTCATCTAATTATTATTGCGAGCATATGTTAGAGCAGCCGGAATGTGTGTGTTGATGAGATATGAGCCCCAATCGATGCATGCAGGATCACAATCAAACGTGGATCCATCCTTCAGCTGGTCTGTAGAGGTTATTGCCCACAAATTTCTCATGTTCGTGTCATCAAAGCTTCATAGGACGGAGGGAAAAGTTAGATCAGTATCGTAGATGTAAATAAGCACATAATAATTTAGCCAAGAACGATAACAAAATTGTTTGCAAAGTTTGTACATATCCGCCAACAAATAAAAACCCTTGATATAGATGTAGAAATTGAGCATTTGTTATTGCTTGCACATGCATGGTGTGCTTCTTGATGTATCTTATAGTTGATAAGTGGGTTTAATGTGTGATGGTAATATTAGTTGTATGCGTATCTTAATAGCTTGCATGAATACAATACTCTCTCTGTTTCTTTTTAGTCTTCTTATAAAATTTGGTCAAAGTCAAACTTTATAAAGTTTGACTAACTTTGTAGGAAAAAATATCAACATTTACAATACTAAAACTATACCGTATGAAAATTAGTTTCATGATGCATCTAATAATATCGATTTCATATTGTGAGTGTTGATAAATTTTTCTATAAACTCTTTCAAAGTTGACAAAGTTTGACTTTGACCAAATTTTATATGCGGAATATAATGATACGGAGGGAGTATTGTCATTTTTCTTGGTAATATGAGGCACCAATGAAAATATTGTATGGACAACACTAGATTTTGAATCATTGCTATACCTTTTCCATAACGAAAAGCACTAGCTGGTCCTTGACCATAAATGGTACAAACTTTGGGCAAGATGTGTGTATTGGAAAGAATAGAACTACCAACTACCGCTAGCTATGACATGTTGTGGTGATGTACTATTCAAAACATAACATAGACATGGAGCAACTAATGGTAGGTTTTGTGGAATTTACAGTTAACCATTCCAATGAATAAACATTCAAAGAACTAAGTCATACTGAGAAAATAAAGCTAGCATTGTCAACAAATTCATAAGCTCAAGAAACATTCAAAGAACTTAATGCTATCTTCTGCGAAATGAGAGTTGGAAGAATTTGAGACTATAAGAATGAAATAAAGTTATGTTCTAATATAATATAATTAAGTGGAAGATTCTCACCACCCTTTGAAGAACGCATATGGGGCGTACAACTTGGCGACAAGTATCAGGAAATTGTAGCCACGTTTGAGCTTATTGTAATGCTGGGACAATGAATGCCCAAATACACTCATCACATGCAACGTCTGTATATCACAAGATTACACAAGTCATTACATAATTCATAGTTGTAACATATTTATTTGACAATTCCTTGTATGACCCCATTTAAATGAGCTGAATATACATGTTCAATTTTTTTCTGTAAGATTTGTCCATCTCTTGTATAACTCGATAGATTCTAAGTTGCACTATTGCAACACCAATTAAAGCAAAAAAATTCTTGGAGATTGAAACTTCAGATGTTTAGCAAGTATTAACGGCATCTTTATATCCACTTAGATAAGGGTATACATCAGTTTAAAAGAAATTTGTACATACCTCTAATGCTAGGTTATACCGCAGGATCATGTATAAACGAAAAAATGTATATGTCTTGAAAAATTTCACCCTTCTATCCTTGACAATCCTCCCGTCCTTGGTTACACGAGGATTAGAGCGGAAATACTCATAGCCTGATTCCAGAAAAGTGGAAAAAAGCAATGGGTTCCGATGGCCTGTGGTTACATGGTAAATTGCCTGTGTTCCATGTGTGTCCCAATGAATGGCCATGGCGACCATCAGTGCATTAATTACCATGTCTCCTGGTATCTATAACATATTGCAGTTTTGTAATTAAAGTCAAAACCATAACTGTAATAAGTGCATGTAAATGTATATAATAGTTCATTACGATATGAGTGAAATGTATAGACCACTCAAGGCATATATTACGTGCACTAAAAGCACCCTAATATATTGACAATGATATATAGGAACTATATTTGATATAAATGTCAAAAAACACGATGCACATAGACACACACACACACACACACACACACTTTTGCCATGTGTATGCATTTATTGAATTCTGTTTTTTGCAATACTCACCACATCGACAATGACAGTACGATCAGCGATAAAACACGGAAGTTTCTGGTCATTGTAAGCAACATACAACATATCCATTGTCCTACAACCAAAGTGAAACAATCTGTTAACATGCATGGAATTTAACTACTGTCACAGATACGCAAAACCATTTACTATCAACAACAAAAAAGTTAATTTTAATAGGTTTACCTAGTTCCCTCCGTCCAACCAGGCATTGGTTCTTGGAAAGTGCTAGATATGATGCTTGGCCGTACTATGACAGCTGGAAGGTCTCGTCCTAAGGTTCCTAGCAACATCTCCCCCATGGCCTTTGTGAGTGAATACACGTTAGGCCAACCAAAGTGCCTAGCCCTGGAAAAAATTTATAGCACATGTTAATTATGTTATCTATTTCTTCATGGTCACATCTATGAGATGAAATTAGTTAAGAAAGTATGTATATGTCTATCCAGACCTTTTCAATCCAAGTTCCTTCATTTTCCTTTTCTCTATCTTGTCATTAGAGAATTGTATCCTGAGTTTTGACTTGACACTCTCAACTAATTTTATCTCAGATTGGATGTCCAAGTTATAGTCTTTCTTTAGTGCTTTGCCTACATCAAACGGCTTCTCCAATAACAGGCCTTCTTGCTCCCCGGCTACGAAAGCTACTCAAGAAAAGAACATTATTATATGTGTTTATAGAATGTTTCACACACACACACACACAAACACACACACACACACACACAACTAGATGATCCAACCATATTTATCTGTCATCAATTTAAGAAATATGAGCTAAGAAGCAGGAGCAGAGGACGTGCTTACCAGTGGAAACATGAAGGAGCATTTTAAGATTAGCACACTTCTTTGCTAAATCGCACACGTGGGCAACTCCTAAGGTATTTGATGCCAGAGCGACATCATATCTGCACATGGAATATCCAAGGAGATGTTGAGTGAGTTTAAGCCCTTTATAACAATACAGCAAATGGTGGGTGGACATATAATTTTCCTATGGATTTTCCTTAGTAAAATTATTCTCTTATTTCTTAATAGTTTTCTTATATAGCGGACACCAAAAAAGGTGACACATGTCTAGAAAACACGTTAGAACAATATACATAGACTACCCATATGCCATATGTATTATCTGCCTACTACATGTATAATTAGATAACACATTTTTATTTAGAAAAACCAGAAGACAATTTTGACATGACACAATTTATAAAATGAAACTTTAATAGTTACTTTTATGTGAATCTAATGAATCTATATTCAGGAAACTATTGATACTAGTTTCTCCTAATTACTAGGTACTTTGAATCAGATGGTCCCGTCCATCGATTGACAAATAAATCCTTCTAAGTCAGCTGATATATATGCAACCCTTTTTATATTATACGCACCTCTCATAGAAGCTAGTAGTTGCAGCTACACTCACAATGACATGGATATCCTCAGAGATCTGTTCAACCATAGAATTTCTGAGTGCACAGGTTTCCTTAGTGATGTCTCCAGGTAGAGGGGAAATTTTATTTTTGATAAAAGAGTTGAAATCAGCTCCATGCTTGCTTCGCAGAACATCAAAAAGTTTTGTTGCTACAACCTGTACATAAGAGGATAATAAAGGATAGATTTGAAAATATAATTAGATATCACAAATAAGTCAATAAATATTTATTTTTATTTCTATTTTTATTTTGAACATCCAATGTTATTGGAGGGACCAAATATTAATAGGGAATAATTGTAATATTGTTTCTTGGATTTTTAAAGCTACAAGTATCTTTATGGTCAATATATTTAGATCAAAATATAAATTTGGTATTAATTGCACATCTATACATGTATGAGTACTATGCAATTGTGGTGCAAAGTACATGTGTGTGTGTGATGAGCGTACACTCTAGAGTCCAAACTTAAATGTACTCAAATGTGAGGGTTTCATCTTCGGTGTGTTGATTGTTTTTGAGCAATATTATTTTGTTTGTCACATAAAATAATATTTAACTATATATGGAAAGTAATGTTATTCTAAAACAACTAAAATTCTTTACCAAATAATATATAACTTTTGTGGTGTATATGTTTAATCATAATTGATTTGGGGACAAATAGTTATTATCACGTTTCCAGATATATCATTTGTCTTAATACCCATTTGTGTCCCTCACATAAGATGATATTACATCGTAAGCTTCCTGGTAGTTTCCATGTGATGTTAGGCCAACACGTGAGGTTAATAAGTCTTACTTCCACTCATGTTCTCCCATTTTTCTAAAATACATGATATAATAGACACCCTTTGAAGTTTCAAATATGACAATTGCTGTTTTAAATGAGTATGCAAAAAATAGGAAATATTTCTTGAAAAGGAATAATTGTTTAGCATTAATTAGCAATATTATTTTCACTACTCTAGTTATATGGGATAGTCAAAGTGAAGCAAGTTTGATTGGAATTTTTCTTGCTAGCTTATGCTTCTTCCAATAGGTCCTTGTGTAGTTAGGATAGGAACATTCTTCTTAGAATCGTCTAGTATGAAAAAATCGGACGAGATTTGAGGTAGGAAAATGTATGATGACTGGATTTTGAAGTCCCACTCAAAGACTGGTATCCATGGGTAAGAGTTTTACACATTCGGACTTTACCACAGTGTCTTGCACGAGCGGCTAAAATATATGTCTTGCACGCATGAAGCGTTCATGCTGGGTCGTAAGAATGGGCCATAAAAGGATTTAGTATTAAGTGTTGGCTCATGAAAATTTTATTTCAATCTGAACCGTCAAAAGTTACTTTATTATGAGGGTCCACATATTGACGGCCATATATTTCTGTTTTTAGTGGGAATTTCTAACATATCTGTCTATTCTCTTTTGTATTTTGTGCAGCATATGTTTCTTCTGGCAGGTCCTTGTGTAGTTAGGATAGGGACATTCTTGACGGAATCTCTAGTATGAAATCAAACTCTATTGATAATATTTGGGGATTATTTTTTCACCTTCTTATTTCATTTGGAACCCATCAATGCATAACTTTCAAAACAGATTATTTGTCTCTAAGACTTGTGATCTCTTACTATGTCCTAGTTATGAATAATAGATCCAACGATCACGATAGTTTTGATGTTGTAGATTAACTTTGTGACTTTAGTAGTCTGCATAAATTTTTGGAGGTGTTTGGTTGGGCTTCTTTTTAACTTTTGCAATCTGGCTTATAAGCCAAAAGGATTCTATTTGTGGGCTTTTGGCTTCGGCCGTTGACTTATGACTCAATATTGATACATGATGATCCAAGCCAAAAGCCCATAAATAGGCTAAAGTGAAAAACAAACAATAAGCCCAACCAAACATGATTTTGGTTCGAACCCCAAAAACAAAATGGGGGAAAGAAGAAAAAACTGATTTCGGATCCCGGGCTCCGTTCATCCCGGATTAAAAAAAAAATCAGGATTAGGGTTTTAAAGTTCAATATGCTAAAATAAAAGAAAAACATGTATAGTGATGCAGGTCAGTTTATGTAAAGTTTCGTGATGAAATAGATTTGGTGTTATCTACACACAGAACTAAGCATTTCTAGCACCCAAAATCCAACATCCATATATATCAACATAGATTTTCTAGCATCCACATAGATTTTCTACGATCCATATATATCAACAGGTTTAATTTCCAACATCCAACATCTATGTTTCATTTTCATTAAAGATGTATTACAAGGACTAAATTAATGGAGTACACGTCAATTGTATTTTTTATATCATATATAATGCGAAAGTGTATTAGCTTTTGATTTCTTTGATCTCAGAGGCGAACATACCTCGGTGAGCACGCGATGCTCGGCGGATGCGGCGTCTGGCGCGCGCACAAGGAGGTAGAGCTTCCTCACATCCGGCTGGACCCTTAGGATCTTCTCCACCAGCACTGCATTGCACCATACAAATGAGCATACGTACGTTATATTGCATAAATAGAGAGAAATCAAGGAGAACAAGTGCATGCATGAGTACGTAGAGTCATGTACTTTTCCCGAGGAAGCCCGTGGAGCCGGTGATTAGGATGCTCCTGTCCCTGAAACACCCGATCACCGCAGCGGCGTCCATGGCTTCCAGGGTGTGCCAGTCGACGCTCGGATGCACCCTGCCTGCCTAGGTCGCTGGATTAATCCTTGCTGTGTGCTTGCTATTTATAGGCACGACAACCATTTGCGTGGGTGATACGTACGTACTCCTTTCTCTTCAGGAAACGTGGGTGC